GAGCGGAGATCGACAACCGCTACCCCGTCGTCCGTCAACGGAGCTGGTATTGTAGTGTGCAAATAGGAGCGTAGAGTTGCCATCAAGGCGTTGCAATGCGGCCTTGGCAAGGTTCCGGTCGAGGGTAGAGGCATCCAAACGAAGTCCTCTCTCGTGAGCGGGTCAAGCTCCTCAAGTCTTAACCACGCCGTCGAGTCCTCGGAAATCAGTGGCGAACTGACCGGATCACTTGCCGACGGTGTACAGGCTGCGCATGTGCTAGCTAAGTGCACGTGGCTTGACTGGTCTAATGGTGGTACCAGCTGGGCGGTATAATCCTCGTACGTGGCACGAGAATCAGCGACTAACGCATGCTCCCCGGTAGTAACATCAATTGCTAGCAAGGCAACCGGGTCCGGCGGAGTGAGGAGAGATGTCGCCCCTCTCCTTGCGTAACTAAGTTTCCCGAGTTTGCTGGACGGGGTACGCGTGCCTTGCCCTTTTCGGGGCATTGTGCGGTCACATGAGTGACGCCGTTGCACCAGAGGCAGTATCCGTACTTTTGACGAAGGTCATAGACATCCTTGGTTATCTTGTAAGCCGTCCATGGCWGCTGCCCAGTTCCCGTCGATGCTGTCTCTTGTGTCGCCTTGTTCGTCCGAACTCTCTTGGGATGCTTCGGCGGGAGCGCTGCTACAATTCCTCCATCACTCGAGGATGCTGCTGGAGCGTGGAGATCATCTGTTTCTTCATAAATCACAGCATTGTTATGTGTCGGACGTTGATAGCCCTGCTTAGCCACATAATGCGGCTGGGACTGCCGTTCGTTTGCGGCCTTGTCATCCGTTTGGATGACTAAGTTCGCACGATCCAGAATGGCCTGGAACGTGTCATAGTCGTACTCGTTGCCGAGTGCCGATCGCAGTCCCGCGCACGATCACGAGAAGAACTCGGATCGTTGATCTGGAAAACTCAAATAGAATCCTGGCGTGGTCACTATCTTCTGCCACTTGGTTGTCCAGTCTCGAGTTGGCATATTTCCTTGAGAGCAGGTGTAGACCTCGTTCATGGCCGCCTTCACGACGTTGCGGACCATGAACCGGGTGAACCATAGCTTCTCGAACTCTTTCCACGTGATGTGCGTGTGGAGTTCGACGATGGTGCATTTGTTGGTAGCCGCCAGATGGTTCATCCAAGCCTGCGCTCCTCCAATTAGTTGCAAGTAGAGTGCCTTCATCATGTCGTCTGCCGGGACAGTGCGGCATGATGCTTCCGTGAGGAAACGTTGCCACCATGTGAAGGCGTCCGACTTGTTGTAGTCGTCGAACTTGCTGATGTCGAAGTGCGGCATCTTGTAAGTCTTTGTAGCGGCGTCCGGTCTCGTCTGCAGCTTGGTGATGTCCGTCTTGATGGCGGCCACCGTGCTACTGATTGTGTCCGGCCCAGTGAAAACACCTATGTCGCCGATGATGGTGACGACGTGATCGATGCGCTCATTGAGTTGCTTCGTGGCGTCTGTCGTGCAGCCTGGCGCTGCTGAGGCGTTAGCCTCAATGCTGTTGATGCGTGCGAGAGTGGAGTTCAACAGCTGATGCTGTTGCTGCTGCTGCGTTGCTTCGGCGCGGATGGCAGTTGTTAAAACA